GAGGAGGGCATCTCCGCCTACCTGGACGGCGGCGGCCGACACCGGGCCCCTGGGCGGGTGGACGACCGCGTGCTGAAGGGCGACTTGCGGCAGGGGCTGAGCTTCAACAGGCGGCAAGGCGTCGACGCCGCCAGGCTGCCCGCGCTCGCCCCCGAGGACCACGACACGCCCCTGCAGCGGGAGCGGAAGGCGCTGGACAGGGAGTTCGTGCGGCGCGCTCACGAGCTGCGGCAGCCGACGACGGGCGGGGCGCCCGCGGAGAAGGCATTCAGATGAGAAGAGGTACTGATACCGCTGCTCATCCTGGAGGGTTGTCGCCACCACGTTTTGGATCCTCCTCGAAGCTTTGCTCCGACGGCACCTTGAGAGAGGCCTTGGGAGCAGCGGTATCGGCAGCTCGCGATTTCCCCAGGCCCGCCCTGCCGACCCCGCCGGACGGCCAAGCGCCCCAGAGCGGGAGGACGTGTTCGCGTCGTTCAACCGGCGGCCTCCCGGTCAGTCCTTCGGCTGGGGGGAGATGGCGGGGCCTTGCTTCGACTTTGCGAAGGTCGAGCGGGTGGTCAGGGGGAGTGACCCACATGGGGAGTGAAGGAAGAGGCCCCAAAAGGGCCCTTTCGGGCCCCTTTTGGGCCCCATCTGTCCCCCCAAAGGGCCCTCAAGGGCTCCTTGAGGGCCTTTGACTTCACCCCCATGTAGGTCACCCCCCAGTGCCGCCCGTCCGAGAAGGGCAATTGCCTCCGCGAGAATTGCCGCTTCACCCACGACCCGGCGGACCGCGTCGCGGGCGCGCCGGGGGCCGGGCCGCCCGAACCCCAGAGGAAGCGGCAGCGGGTCGGGGCGATGGGCGCTGTCGTTGACATCGGCGCGGCCGAGGAGGAGGCGGCCAGGCAGGCCGAAGAGGACCTCGAGCTGGCCAACCCGCTCATGCGCGGCCCGGCAGCCACGAAGCCCTCAAAAAAGCCCGCGGCCGATGGCACTGCCAGAGGCCCGGGCAGGCCAGAGCCGGCGGTGGCCCGCGCCCGGGGCGGGGCGGACGAGTGCTGGGCCAGCAAGAAGCTCAGAGTGCGCATCGTGGACGACGGTGGAGACTTCAAGCGTTCCTCGGCGGCGAGCGAGGGGGGGAACTGAGAAGGAGAAGGCCTTCTCAGAAGGCGGCGGGACCTCTCAGAAGCCCTCGCGCCTTCTGAGAAGTTTTTTCTGTCTTCGGGGTAGGCTTAGAAAACTTCTCAGAAGTCCGCGGGACTTTCGAGCCTTCTGAGAAGGTGCGCCCCTTCTCACTTCCCCCCCTGGCTCGCCGCCTAGTTCCCACCTGAAGAAGGGCGTCGTCTGTGGCGTGGACGCGGGCCGTTTGCAGGTGGACGTTCGGCTGGACGGGAGCGGGGAGGTGCTGGACGCCGTGCCGCTGGAGCGGGGGTGGAGTCGAAGGGGGAGGCTGGACCGTCGTATCTTGCTGATTAAGCGTGGGAGGACACGTCATCACGGTAGAGGCCTGGAGCCTGACAAACAGCTTGGGCGAGGGGCTCAGAAGAACCGTTGGAATCATGTTATGCCGATGTCGTCGGGCCGTGCTCAGTGAAAGAGGTTGAAGAGGAGGAGGAGGAGCAGGCGGAGGAGGAGAAGGGGGATGGGGACGACGACGACGACGACGACGACGACGACGACGACGGCGATGGCGACGACGACGACGACAAGGACGACGAGGAAGGAGGAAGATAACGAGGACGGCGCGGGCTTCCCTTGCCGAACCACAGGCCACTAGTTTTCGGAGTCGCTCCAGACGGCCGCCCGGGTTGACCACGGCAGGTCCGCGCCGCGCCGACGCGGCGGCGACCCCGGCGGGGACGTTCAAGGTCGTGTCGTGTCGCTGCCGGTGGCCGAGAAGCGGCCGATGTGGCACGGTCAGCGCAGTTGAAGTGCAGCGATCGTGCATGGGTGGCGATCCACGCGGTCTCTCAGAATTCAATGCTGGCGTCAGCGCCACGTGGCCTTGGCGCAGGTGTCCTGGTCTAGGTTTCAGCCACTGCCCAGTCCGGAGCACCAGCCGTGCGCAAGCATTTGCAAGCACCGAGCTCAAGAGCACAGTCCCCTCTTTGTGGAGCTGCATGTCGATGGAGGTAGCGGAGATGCGGCGCGCAGGGGGAGGAAGGGGCGGAGGAGGACGACGTTGACGGTGAGAAAAAAGACGGCGCATTGGGTAAACAGGCAGAGAAGGGGAGGGGAGGAGGCGCGCAGCACGTGCGGCGATGCTTGTAACGCAGGCGTGATTGGTCTGAAAAGGAGGTGATGGAGGAGACGGGTGAGGAGGAAGGAGGATGAGGAGGAAGGAGGATGAGGAGGAAGGAGGAAGGAGGAAGGAGGATGAGGAGAGGGAGGATGAATGGGAGCAGGACGATGGAGGGAAGTTGGGAAAGTGGCGGCAACAAAGGAGGTCTGCGAAGGGGGGAGGAGGCTGGGGGAGGGGGAGGATGAGGGGGAGAGGGGTGGCAGCACAGTTCTCAGGCAGTGGCGGTGAGGCCCCGCAGGTGAGGAGAAGGAGGAAGGCGGAGCGGATGAAGAGAAGAGCGAGGAGGACGGTGAAGGGGAAGGAGGTGCAGGTGTGGGAGAAGAAGGGGGAGGGGGAGGGAAAACGGGGAGAAGATGATGGGAGGGTGGCAGCCTAGGGAGCAAGCGAGGGGAGGAAGACCGCGCAGGGGGGATAAAAGAAAGGGGAGGCGGAGAATGAGGAGGACGAGGACAGGACACCCTCCCTTCCGAAGAATTCCTCACAAGTCCCTGCAAGATCTCCCTGTTGACACTGCTGGGAAAAGCATCCTTGGAAGACGAGCGCCCCATATCAGCCTGCGATTCAGGCGAAAGGAATGCCCCTTGCAGCCGCCAAGGTCTTATACGAAGGAATGCGAAGGCAGGATCGCGAAGATGAAGAGGATCGTGAAGGCGAGGGGAGATCTTAGTCTTAGACGCAGCGCTGGCAACTCTCCCACTCGTACTTTGAGTGTTTTCCCGGCAGGTGTGTTTGTGTGTATGTAATCTGCCGGGCGTGCCATGGCGCCAAGCTCTGCGAAGAAGGGAGTGGTTGGAGAGTGCCCAGGTTTGAAAATGGTCAGCCCTGTGTTTGAGCACTTGCTGTAACGCTCGCACGGCGTGTCTTGGAGCCTACAGATTTCGACAGCGGGAGTACCATGCTGGAAAGGAAGTGCACCCGACGCGTGTACCCCGTACACAGTGTTGCACGTGTGGTGCTAACGTGTGCAGAACTCTCGAGTGGAGGCCCCAGTTTGAAAAGGAACCGCCATCTGCGCTGATAGCCGCTTCAGCAGGGTACGACCACACTTGCGCGGCGCGACGGAGAGAGCCACAGGTGAACGACCGGGTGCCATCCATGCTTGCAGTTTGCAAACAGTGTTGCAACGACAGTCCGCGGCCCGATGGCGAGATCCACATGTTGATAACCATCCGCCCTCGAACCGTGTGGCTGTTGAAAGGTTTGCGGAAGAGTGTGCGCGGCCCGAAGGCGACAACAAACGCCCTGCGCGCTTTGCCGATACGCTTGGCTGCGCTAAGGAAGCGGATGGAAGAGGAGGAGGAGGAGAAGACGAGGAGGAGGAGGAGGAGGGGGACGGGGAGGACAAAGAGAGCATCAGGAGAACGGGACGAAAGGCGAAGAGGATAAGAAAAGCGGGGGCGTTCCAGGACATCCTCGAGACAGTGGTGTCCAAGTCGTGCACAGAGGTGGAGATTATCCGCGGGAGGGGAGGGCGGACGAGCAGGCGAAGCAAGCCCTCCTCCTTCTCCACATAGATGTTCTCATATTTCGTGATTATGTGCGGAATTGCCCCCGACTCTCTCTCGCACTGTTTGGTTGCAAGACTTCGTTGTTGATGCGTCATTGTGTGTGACTCGATCGGGACCCGGTTCTTCAACAACGGTGCTCCCGCTGCATTGTTGGCCACATTTCAGGATCGGCGCTTGGCCCCCGTCGTTCAGAATGTTACTCCTGCCCAGGGAGTGCCACACTTTTGCAACGAAGCCATTCCTCCTCGTTGCCGATATCTTCCGTTCCCCTCCTCCACCTTACTTCTCTTGCTCCTCCTACTCCTCCAGCTTATGCTGCGGTTCTTCCTCCCTCCTCATGCTCCTCCTTGCCTTCCTGCTCATTCTCTTGCTCATCCGCCACCTCCTCCTCCAATTTACAGGGCCCACCATGTCTGAGTGCGCACCACACTGGGGGCAAGGTGTTCCAGGACACCCCAGTCGACGTATGGAAAAGAATTCAGCGCAGTGGGGAGCGATGATCGGGAGAGATAGGATGTCAGGTATTGCGCGAGTGCACCCAGCTTGTCCTCCGCATCCTCCTGCTACTTACGCAGGACGAGGGGTTTTCCTCTTGAGTTGCAAATGGCGTGGAAGTTGGTGACCGAACCCCTTTCCCCCGCAGAATCTTAACACGGGCGGGTTCCGGGGTCCGCGGATCCGATGTCCTCCGGCTCCCCGTTTTAGTTTTAGTAAGATATAAATTTTAAGCGGGGTAACAATCGGATCCGCCGTAAAAAATTAGACCGAACACGGACCAGCAAATCCGAAATCGGATCCGCGCGGACGGAAATCGGATCCACCAGAACAAACACCGAAGCCAGACATGGGTCCGCGCGAACTTCATGGGGATCCGACGGCGGTTATCTCATACCTGTCTGTTCAAGACTTCAAACCGTGGTTCCAGGCCCAAGAGGAAAACAATTTCGTCCTGGGGATGGGCGTTTTTGCCTTCTGACTTGTTTTGTTGGTTACCACATAGCCGACACACCACATTTCACAGGCAGTCCGTTGTTGGTTACCACAGCCGACACACCACATCTCACAGGCAACCCGTTGTAGCAGGAGACGCAGGGCCGAAGCGCACGGGCGTTTTGGCCTTCGGACTTGTTGGTTACCACATAGCCGACACCACATCGCACAGGCAGTCCGTTGTTGGTTACCACACAGCCGACACACCACAATTCACA